GTCTCATACTAGTATTAAGTCACTGTAATACCATTTTTGATACCAAAAACTTTAATACTAATGCAAATACTGGGTTAAGGTGTTATTACGGTCACAATTCACTGTAATTAATATAGCAAATTACATATTGCTTTTCAGTAATGAGAGACAGGGTCAATCAATGTTCTCCTTAGCAAGGTCAAGATCTGTGATAATTTAAATATTACAAGATTAAACATGAAAAGTTCAAAGACATATTTCACAAGCCAGAGCAAAGACTCTTCAAATGCACTTTATGAACTTACGCAGCAGGAATGAAGTTTGCAAATTGGCTTAACCTCTTCATTGCCAAAACCGTGCAGGATCAGGAAATGCTCACGCGTCAGTAGGTTAATCAAATCCCGTACAAGTAAGAATCACATGCTTTTTGTGTTCTCTATCCTAAATCTGATAACAGCATTAGGAGTGTTTGCCAGTTTTAATGTCAGTTTAGGTAATGCCCCATTTTCTCTGATTGGTTGTGATTGGTATTATCTAGGGTACTTAAACACTATATATATTTGCTTAATTTACAAAGGCAGCACAGTAGATGATATTTTATCCTTTAACTAAACAAGGCAGAGTACACACAATAAAATGATTTTCTTGTTGAATGAATAGGGATATAATAATATATAGTATACCCATAGGCAGTGATGAAACAGAGTATGGAGAAGGAAGACATTTTGTTTAGCTATTCTGCAATTATTTTTTGGTCCTATTTTCATTCCATGGGTTTTGCACTTTTAACTCATTGCAGACCTAAAGAAACCCGCAAGCTTTATGTAGTAATATGGTTAGAGAAATGAACAATCTGTGTAGAATCCAATATATAATAAAGCAAATATCACGCTTTCCTGTACTGTAATGCATTGGTGGTTGATGTAATATATACATTAAAAACTGCAATTCATATACGTCCGTATGCTGTCCTTATAGTGAAAGATCCCAATATCACTGTAACTTAACTTAAAAAAAAAAAAAGTACTGTAAAGATACAAAGAGCAGAAACATGCACTAGGAGAGAATAATACCATAATAACCAATTTTGGTTCTGGGGACATTCATAAACCCCTCAACCTTCTCAAGGTTTATTATGATAATCAATAAACCCTTGGATTATTTCCCACAATACACTTCACCAATATATGTTCTCTTTCACTCAATTGTCACTGAAAGAGTACAGAAGCATTTTGTTATCATGTAAAATGTTCAAAAATAATTCTAAAAATACATATACTTTTTTTTCCCCTCACATTTAGTCCACAGAATACATAAAACAAAACAACGGTGTTTTGATAAAAATCTAAGATTTAACAATGTATATTATACATGTGAACCAAAGAAGCAAAATGGCAGACGCCATTAACCAACATAGAAAGGTCTGTTTATTTGGCATGGTTACCTCCATATTTCAGTAAAAGCTTGGAGCATTCCATTTTGGGCTATGATCTTTAAAGAATAGACTGTTACAAAGTCATAGATCTTCATTGGTCCTATTGGCACCCAGACCACTGCATCTCATTGAAGTGGTCTGGGTGCAGTGCCCCTGTTCCCTTAACCCTGCAATTTAAAACACTGTAGTTTCAGATAAACTGCAATGTTTCAATTTCAGGGTCAAGACAACCTCTAGTGGCTGTCAACCAGACAACCACTTGAGGCACACCCTGTATATTCACAGAGTTTAACTCAGTAAAACGACATTGGACGTCCTTATGCTTCGCATGAGGTCATCCAACATCATCACAGGAAAGCATTGATTCAGTGATATCCTATAGGGAAGCTCTAATGCACACAGCACTTGCAACACATGCACATTAGGTTCCGCCATTGGCAAACCAGGTTGATGTAAGGGGGGTGCAGGGAAGGGACACTAAAGGGAACAGTACACTACAGCGTTAGGAATACAGGTTTGTATTCCTAACATCATAGTGTTCCTTAGAGGGGTTAAGCTATAACATGGGTTTAGTTAGAGATCGGAAACTTGAATTTAGAATATAAAAATATTGATCAGATAGGACAATTCTCTCAATTGAGTTCATAAAATATACCCGTGTCAATCTGTGGCTGTGGTTTATTAATCAGTTTTCTGGTTGCATAATACATTAAGTTACCTTATCTCATGCAAAATCTCAATTTTGTCAAATTGTACAACATTACAAATTGGTAGATACTAGACACCGGCTTAGTCTGAGTCACCATTTGAAGGTGATTGAACATTTCTGTTTCAGTACCCTTGGCGGACTCCACAAAACAGTAGTTTAAATAAATGTTTGTTTTTAGTAAACATAGAGGAAGGAGTGCAGCACAGTCAAATTCATTTTACAAAGTAATAACAAGCAAGCTTCATGAAGTAAGGTATTGATGCACTGTAATACAACATGGATTTGGAAATATTATGAAAACACCACCAAGTTATTAGTCAATACACAATACCATATAAAACACACATCTGTGTGATTCATATGTCAGATCACTCGTTTCAATAATAAATATAAAAAAATACACAGTGTATAAATATTTGAGTACACAGACAGAATACAGATTCACCAACTTTCACTAACACAGATCTAGAACACCAGTTCACTCCTTTTGGCTGCAAAAATTGGGATTTCAGTGCATGTTTATGTTATCACCTCAAAGAAAATGTTACAATACAGCAAACACAATAATGTAATAAAGCCAGAATATTTACCCTGGGAGAAAGTGAGATTACTTTAAAGACTATTTTGCAAGCGTGAAAGAGGGATGGGCAAAAATGTCCTCTAACAACATGACAATGTGAAGAAATATGTATTGGAAAGCTGAGACTATGAACAGTTTTCCTTGGAGTTTCACTGTCTAAACAGTGAGTTTGTGTTCAGTTGATATTTGATTTGTAACATTTGGGACAATATAGCTAAACTGTAAAATAAAATTGTAAAAAATTAATGTTTTTTTCCTGGCAAAGAAATATACATTGTTCTTACCTTTCTAAATGAATTGTCCATCTATCCCAACTCATTAATTCGTATATAAGCCCCATTCTTACACCCATTATTTTTCTTAAATATAAATGGGAGCATATTTACAAACTCTACCAGAAGCAAAATGTATGGGGTTTTTTTTTTTTTTTTTTGGCTCAGAACTTAATTACACACATAAATTTAAATCACAAAAAAAATATTGTTGGAACAATATTAATGTAACTGATAATGGCCTTTGTGACAAAGTACATTTTGATCACCTATTCAACTACAACTTGTAACTAAATATTTAGTTGTTTGTCTGTCCCAAAGCACTTTGATACACCTGTGGTTTTACTCACTAAACAGAAAATTACTGAGATATGGCAAGATCAATATCATTTCCCATTTTTAGGGCAAAATAGCTTCTGCAACCCTGTTTTACTTTGTTTTGACCTTAATGTGACTTTCCTTTATCTGTTATCTACAATGCCCATTTTAGTGTATGCCTTTATATTTTAACTTAATTAGCAGCATGTTAACGGATGATCGTCTTACTCAAAGCAATGATTCATTTTATTGACCTCAGCAGCATGTAAGGCTAATATGACCCTGTTGGGTATTTAACTTCGATCCCTGAAGCTTGAACACTAACCAACTGAGCTATCTCACTGTGAGCTGCAGTCCAGAACAGCTGGTGTTCTACGAGCTGTAAGTCTTGGCATGCAAACTTGCTCTTCTTAGTAGTAGTTGAAAATATAATCCTCAAAAATGAATAGCCAAGATTATATTTTAGATTACATTATATAAATATTGTTTTTTAAATATAAGATATTAAAAGATACTGGGCTCAGTTTCAGATTTCCAAAACCAAGATAGCACATTAATATTTAAACTACAGACGTTGGCTGAGAGTCATGGGGAATGTAGTTCATCAATAACTAGCCTGATGACAACTCCTGAACAAATAACAAAACTGTATGTGAAACATCAAATAATTTGGAAAAACACAAAATCGGCAATACTAGAATGCACTAAATGTAGGCGAAATGTGAAAAATGAAACGTCTAATTTCTTTGCATAGACAACTACTATTACAATCTTTGGGGTTTATTCACTAAACACTGAATTGTAATATATGGGAAGCTTGATCACAAACTTTAGGTTAAAACTATTGATTTGTAAAAAAAAAATATCCAACTTTACTAGTTGTGACTTTAGTGGAATTGAAGAATTTTTCCAAATCTGCTATTTTTAACCCTACATTTTCTAATGTGGTTTTTAAATTCACTTCAATTTAGTGTTTTAGCCAATATTTTCCTGGTTGTATTCATGCTCTTTAAAAATATAAGCTGCAAAATTATTTAATAATTCTCAAAGCAATTTCATGAAACGAAGCAGAAATAGAGCAAAATCTTCTGAATCAGTCAAACATTAACTTAAACATTGCAGATACTTTTCTATTGCAATAGCATAATCATCATAAGCACCCATTATCCCTGACCAGTGCTGAATCAAACTGTGAGCTATACGTTCCAAAGATTCTCTTACAGAATTCCGAGGGCTTATCGCCTTCCCTCCTTCCCCACACATTGTAAAGTGTCACTTACTATAAGAACAGAAACCATAACCACTCCTACCTTGTTAATATAAAAAAAACTAATGTTTAAAGTTAGACGTGTTATAAACCTCCTTAACAATGCTATATAAATGATACACAAGCTGGCAAGATCTCATACAGGCTATGAAATAAGGACATCTGATAAGCATCTTGCAATCATAGTGCATACAGATTAATATAATGTGCTATAAATCCAAACTTAATATGTGTACACCTCGAGCAATCGTGTGCAGCCATGCAAGAAGTTAAAAAAAGATGTCAGAATTACTCACGCAGCTTTTAAGATGCAAGAGCCAGTTGAGCAAGAGAAAATCCAAGGGTAGATTATTAACAACTATAAATAAAAACACATGCAGAGAGGCAATAGGAGGCCCATGGGACTGGTTACTGCAACGATAGCAATCATGCTCGTACAAGCTGACTTATAATTCATGAAACACAGCTTCAGCTTCCGCCAATCAGATAGCTTTCTTCAACTAGTCTAACTGGCTTGAAGGAACTAAAAGGGCAGCACTAGAACAACAAAGATATCCTATACGTCCTTAATCTGCTTATCTGTAACCTCTTACTGCCAGGTAGCTAGACAAAGCTCCAAGTATTATTTGCCGAGAGGAAGAACAGGTGATTCATAAAAAGGTGGCTGTGTTACTAAAGGCACCTATTTCTTTGCACTTCAAATTCCATTGCAAGTTTAAATGATAAAATAAATACTCATGCAGTGCTCTGTATTTTATACAGTTCTACCTGGATTTTTAATATAATGACGTGCAGGAAAAGAAATGTGATGGCTATTTTGGCCTGATGTTGCAGCTTGGTAGGTAAATTATTTTAATTAATTGAAAGGTCAACATAAAAGTGGAGATTAAAAAAATAAAATAAAAAATAACAACTGTTCTTCTAGTGACGTCAACCAATTGAAAAATATTATGGTGACCTTATAATGATAAGTGACCTTAATACAAAGGTGACACTACTGTACTTTACATCATCGCAGCCCTGGGTGACGAGTCTTGTGTGACATTGTGGGGTAACAAGCCCTTTGTGGCTCTTTTGACAAATTAAAATATTAACAAAATGCCCTTTTAATAATGAAAAATAATAATAGGCAGGGAAAACACTCTTGCAGACCCAAATTAACATTTGTACTAACAGTTACAATTAGATACACATATAAACACATACAGACACGCGCACACATAGACAAAAGTTCCCAGACACAGCTAGAAACGCACACAGACACACTCAGACAGCTACAAACACTCTAACACACTAAGACACTCATGCAGACACTCTTAAAAACACACACTCAGGGGGTGGGGCCTAGCTGCCAACCAAGACAGTCTCATGGTATTGGAGCTCCTCGCAGAAAACTACTTTTGTAAGCCGCAAACTGGGCATTGCAGCCCTGTTTTTTTGGCTACAGGCTTGCCGATTATCCCTGGGACAACTTTGCCAATAATAATACTGGCCTGCATTCGGCAGACACAGCCTGTGAACTTTCTTACTGCCAGCTGCTGCACTCGAGGACAGGGAGGTGGCCGATCTTCAGCCTTGATTTGGAGCTTGTGAGCCTGGTGCCCTGTTCCCCTCGCTTTGGACTGGAGGGGGTTATCCCGGTCCCCACTGGTGCTTTGGAGTGATCCCCTTGTCTAGACCCTCAGCTTGTCGGCGAAATGGAGAGTTGTGGCCTAGCAGTCGAAATGACCACACTGCCGGGGCCTACAGACTTGGTCACCTACCCCCATACCTTACCACGAGTGGAGCCGCTACTGCAGACCATGAAAGGGAGCTCACTGCCACCCCTGCAGAACGAAATGCAGCACTCCTGGGCTGTCCTATGGATCAACACTGCAAGTCTGGGCACCCCCCATGTGTTTGGGGAAAGGCACTATGGAAGAGGAGTATGGGGGAAGCAGCCGTGGTGAATGGCAGTACTTCAGCTCCTTGCACCGCATATGTGTTGCTACTCACCCAGACAGCAGAGACACAAGTCAGAAGCCTATGATTTCAGCCACCAGGTGCACAGGACAGAGAGGGGGCAGCGACGAACCTGGTCTACTGTCCTGAAAAAAGTTGAAACACAATGGATCAGATGGTCAAATGGAGAGGCCTCCTTGGAATGCATGGTGTAGGTGGCGGCTGATTGCTACCAACTTTGGGCATCGGTAAATCCTATGTCTCTAGCTTAAAGCATAGTTCTCACTAAGCTACATGTCCGTATTATTTCAATATGCTAGTATGCCCTAATTGACCATTTGCAGTAGCCCATTGCATTGCCCAGTGGTATTTACTCTTTGAAATTCACCACAGTCCTACTTTATAGCATCTTCTTGTTTGAACACATAGGACTGTGCTCCTGCTATTCTCTTATCGCCTTATATAAGTAAAAAAGTAAAATGTCCTTAACATTTCATGTTATTACAACCGTCCTGTATTGCCATATGTATTTCTGGTGAAATGATTATCAATGCATGTAAGTTATCAAATGCACAAGAAAATACAGATTGACAAAAAAAGTGATTTTAAAAAAACACACGCAGCCTTGGAGAGAAGCAAAAATAAACAACTATGAGAATGGGCAAAACTTAGAGAAACTCAGTAGCTTGCCCTTCAGTTAATCCCCGCTCCGTACTCAACATATTTTGCTCACTTTTTCAGTTACAAAGGGAACCTATACCATTTGTATATCAGACTGATCCCACCCATAAGGGAAGTCCAGAACCAAAATGCCTGAGGACGATCGTTTCAGCCTTCTTTGGGCCTCATCAGCAAGGTGTAGCTGATCCCCCTCTAGGCACAGTGAGCACAGGGTCCATGTCTGAATTGCCAATTTAACTTAGGGAGAGCCAAAGCAAATGCATTGCAACCAAAACATAGAATATGAGAACTCTAAGTATCACAACCCAGGCATTGGTTGAAAAAATAAACAAAAAGCATTGTTTAGAACTCTGAAACATGAAGTCTGAAACATGACGCCTGTCTGTTGTCAGGGTTGACGCTTATATTATGCCAATTAGGCAGGGACTCTCTTTAAGATGGGGCAATAGCAGTGACTCTAATGCTTGTCTGGACCACTGGCGGATCCAGACTCTTATCTCGGGAGGGGCACTCATAGATTATTTAAAGAAACAATCCAGGCACAGTAACCACTACAGCTCTCTGTAGTGGTTATGGTGCCAGGAGTGCCGTGGCGCCCTCCCAGAGTAAATAGTCAAACGGTTTAAAAACAGTTTGACAATTTACTTGGGGTCTGCCAGGATAGGGGCTGTAGTAGAAGATAGAGCCTCTTGTAGTGTGTGTGTGTGTGTGTGTATGGGAGGCACTGAGTGTGTGAAGGATGCAGGGTGGGTATGGGAGACAGTGTGTGAGGGGTGCAGTGTGTGTGTGTGTACGGGAGGCAGTGCATGTAGGCCAGTGTGTGTATAGGGATGCAGTGGGAGCACTGTGTGTAGGAGGGGCAGTGTGTGTGTTTGTGTGAGGGGTGTAGTGGGTGCATGGGAGTGCAGTGTGTATATGTGGGGTGCAGTAGAAGCACTGTGTGTATGGGGCCAGTGTGTGTATGAAGGTGTAGTGGGGGCAGTGTGTGTATGGGAGTCCAGTTGGAAGTGTGTGTATGTGGGTGCAGTGTGTGGGGGTGCAGTGCTTGTATGGGGGTGTAGTGTGTGTGGGGGGAGAAGTGTTTGCCCAGTAATGTGCCTGCGGACCGGTGAGGGAGATCTCTGATCTCCCCTCCGGTCCGTGAAGGCACTTAGCAGGGCCGGCGCTTGGATAGCACTGGCCCTGCAGGAGAGAGCATCGGATCTCGGGGGGGGCAATTGCCCCGTTGCCCCCCCCCTGGGTCCGCCACTGGTCTGGACCACCACACACGAGACTGGCATTCTCTCTGTCATTCACAGAAACACAGCCTCCACCTGTGACAGAGCTGCCAGTGCCCCCCTCTCTGCTCCTGTCATCCTTGTGGTAATGCAGCTGTTTAAAATGCTGTCAAGTAAGCATGTATGTTAAGCTTGTAAGCCTGCCTCTTCCTGCCCACAATACATTGACCCCACCCCTTCCACAACTAACTCTGTCTTGTTCAGCTTGGAACATTCTAACTCTGCCTTTGCCCTTTTCCCAAGACCATGCCTCTGGACAACAAGTCCTTAAAGGGCATTATAGGTACCTAGACCAATTTGTCTCATGAAGTGGTCTGGGTACAGTGTTACTGTTCCCTTAGCCCTGCAATCAGTGGCGTACACATGACCCATGGGGCCCCGGTGCGAAAATTGATCCGTGGGCCCGCGCTTACTCGGCGCGGGTCGGGGCCGCAACACATGGCGGCGGGCACCTGGTCGCAGGGGTTGCAGGGCTGCAACCCCGCGACTGTGGTATGCACACCCACTTAAAGGACCACTACAGACACCCAGATCACATCAGCTCAATGAAGTGGTCTGGGTGCCAGGTCCCTCTAGTTTTAACCCTGCAGCTGAAAACATAGCTGTTTCAGAGAAACGGCTATGTTTCACTGAGGTTAATCCAGCCTCTGGTGGCTGTCTCATTGACAGCTGCTAGAGGAGCTTCCGCGATTCTCACTGTGAAAATCACAGTGAGAAGACACTGAACGTCCATAGGAAAGCATTGAGTAATGCTTTCCCATGGGCGGTTTAAATGCGCGCGCGCGCCTCTTGCCGCGCATGTGCATTCGGAGCTGAGAGGCGGACACTGGGGAGTCCAATGCTGGAGAAAGTTAAATGCTGAAGACACACACACTCTCACGAACAGACGCATACACACTAGCTAACAGACAAACACATTTACTGACAGAGACACACTCAGCGACAGACATACATACACACTCACTTACAAAACATACACTTTCACTGACAAACACACACTCACTAACAGACATCAAACACACTCAGTAACAGACACACACAGTAACACACACTAGCAGACACACACCCAATAACAGACACACTCACTGACACACACACACTAACACAAACAAACACTAACACACACACAAACACACACACACTAACACACAAACACTAACACACAAACACACACACTAACACAAACACACACTAACACAAACACACAAACACACACACTAACACACACACTAACACAAACACACACACTAACACTAACACACACACACTAACACACACACATTTTTTTTTTTAATTTAATCCCTCCAGCCTCCTTACCTTTTGGAGTGCTGGGGGGATTCCCTGGGGTCCAGTGGTGCTGCTGACCCCAGCGGGCAGGCGGGCTGGGTGGCCGGTGCGCGAGGGAGCACTCAGTGCTTCCTATTCAGCTCCCTCGCGCACCGCATAGGGATGTCGGCGCCGGAAGATGACGTCATCTTCCGGCTCCGGTATCAGTGCGGTGCGGGCTGGCCCTGTTGGTACATACCGGGTCGCAGGGGCGGCTGGGCCCCCTGGTGGACCGTGCCCGGTCGCAGCCGCGACCCCTGTGACCCTGGTATGTACGCCACTGCCTGCGATGTATAACATTGCACTTTTTGAGGAACTGGAATGTTGACATTGCAGTACTAAGTCTGTCTCTAGTGGCTGCCAAACACAGCATGATAGCGGCAATTTTCAGCGAGAGTAGATAGTGCAGCGGAGCTGCTACCAGTGGAATCAGCATGGCTC